ATCCAGAACAACTTCAGAGCTGCTAGCTGAGATGGTCCAGCCTCACACACTACTCCAGCCAGGACTTCAGATAAGCCCTGCACTTTCCCATTACACAAAGACTGGACAACAAATGTTACAGCTAGCTCTCCCAGGACTTGACCATTATCTCAATTATCTCAGGGTCCTCTAAAGAAGCTGTCACCCCCAGACAACAGGAAGTAGTCTAGAGAATATGACACCCACATTCCCAAGATGTGGAGTGGGTAGTTTTTGGTCATTCAGTGGGTTATGGATGTTTGTCATTGTTTGGGGGGTTGGTTACAAGTTGTTATTGGTCATGGTCAGAAAAAAAGCTAAAGAAAGGAGATTAGATTCAGGGATCTCTTTCTGAAGATTAAAAAAAAGGGGGGGATACAATGTAGAAATGAGCCAGGCGGTGGTGGCGCACGCCTTTAATCCCAGCACTCGGGAGGCAGAGGCAGGAGGATCTCCGTGAGTTCAAGGCCAGCCTGGTCTACAGAGCGAGATCCAGGAAAGGCGCAAAGCTACACAGAGAAACCCTGTCTCGAAAAAAAAAATGTAGAAATGACAGAATAAAAGGGTAGATTGTTGAATCTACTTTTAAACTAAAAAAAAACAACAACTATTAGTCAGGTTAGTAGTTAGTCATCTATAATAATCAAACCTGTATTCATGTTAGGTATGTTTTCAAGGTAAAACAGAGATATTATAGATAGGTGGTCTTCAAATACTTCAGAGACCTACAGAATATGGCATTTAAGATGTTTTAATAACCTAAGGCTTTTCATGACAGTAAGATACATCTGCTTCTGGTAGCACCAATTTGTTTCAAAAAAGGATAATGGGCATTAAGAAACCATATGGAGTTTGCTTTTATTGTAGCAAAGCTAGCCACTGGTCAAGAAGCTGCCCTTGCCTTGACTGCTGACAGTATGCTGTCCAAATTGGACAAGCAGGACACAAAAGAAAGCAACTGCTGAACTTTGCCAAGACAAGGTAGTACAGTCCTTTAAAATTCTTGTTTCACAATAAAGTCTATCAGACATTCTAGGCCTGCAGGCTGAAAATGGATGCCCCAGTGTTACAGAGGAACCTTAGGTGACTGTCCAAGCAACTTCTCTGTTGCTTCTATAGTTTTGGAAGTTGTTTGTTCTACACTTCCTGTTTACTCAGGTAATATTATATCCTTCTTGGGTCTTTGATGAGGTTAAAGACTAGATAGTCATAGTTTTGCAATTTTCCTTGTTACCAAATTCAAAAAAGAAACATACATAAGAGATGTAAAGTTTATAAGGTTGAGAAACAAAAGTTTAATTTGTTTATCTAAGAAGATGTTTTAATGTACACAAATATATTTTTAGGATGCTAATACAAGTTATAATAGAAAATGGTTTAGGTATAAAACTTTGGACTCATCAAGATAAGATAGATAATAGAAGAGTTTAACAAATATAAATGGACTGGACATTGTGAATGTAATTTTTTTTTTTTGGCTTTTTGAGACAGGGTTTCTCTGTGTAGCTTTACGCCTTTCCTGGAACTTACTCTGTAGCCCAGGCTGGCCTCGAACTCACAGAGATCTGCCTGACTCTGCCTCCCAAGTACTGGGATTAAAGGTGTGAATGTAATTCTTACATGATAATTGTTTTTGTTGTATATAATTTTAGTATTAGAGTTAAAGCTGTTCCTTCTTATTTAGACAAAAATGGGGAAATGTTGTAGGATATTTGCACACTGTGTGAAAATGTATTGCTGGGATTGGTGTAATAAAAAGCTGAACGGCCACTAGCTCGACATAGGTGGGATTTCTGGGGAGAGAAAGGAAGAGGAGGAGGAATCTAGGTGTGTGGGAGATGCCAATGAGACACGGAGGGAGTTGGACAAAGCAGGTCAATTTAAGTTATAAGAGCTAGTGGGTCAAGCTTAAGCTAAGGCTGAGCTTTCATAATTAATAAGTCCCAGCCGGGCGGTGGTGGCGCACACCTTTAATCCCAGCACTCAGGAGGCAGAGGCAGGAGGATCTCTGTGAATTCGAGGCCAGCCTGGTCTCCAAAGCGAGATCCAGGACAGGCACAAAGCTACACAGAGAAACCCTGTCTCGAAAAACCAAAAAAAAAGTCTCTGTGTCATTATTTGTGAGCTGGCGGCCCAAAGAAAAATCCAACTACATGAACTTCTGTGGGAAAGGCTCTTCTCAGACAGGGAGGGCCTCTGGAGGTGTAGAAGGCAGAGAAAAGGGTATGAACATCAAAGCTCGCAGGCATAAAAGCATGGGTAAGTTTGAATTCCTGGTGTCTGGGCTGCAGAAAGACACAGGTGGGAAGGACAGACAGCTTCTATCCCCTTACCAGGGATTCTCTCCATGGGAATAAGGGTGTTGGGCTATCTCCTGAGGAGCCAGGAGAGGTTTCTTTTCTTTCTTTCTTTTTTTATTTATTTTTATTTTTTTTATTTTTCCAGACAGGGTTTCTCTGTGTAGCCCTGGCTGTCCTGGAACTCACTCTGTAGACCAGGTTGGCCTCGAACTCACAGAGATCTACCTGGCTCTGCCTCCTGAATGGTGGGATTAAAGGCGTGCACCACCACCACCTGGCCGAGGTTTCTTTAAGATAGATTTTATTTATTTTTTAATTATGTATATGTGTGTGGGTGTGTACATGGGAGTTCAGGTGCCCCACAGAGGCCAGAAGAAAGAGGCATGGGGCTCTCTGAAGCTGGAGTTATAGGGGATTGTGAACCCCCATCCTCCATGGGTGCTGGGAACTGAACTCTGGCCCTCTGTAAGAGCAACACATGCTCTTAACCACTGAGTTATCTCTTCCAGCCACAGAAAAATTTCTTGGCAAGGTCAGGGGTCATGGCCTGGGATCTTGGCCAGGGAACGATGGTACTGAACCAGGCTTTGGATAGCAGGCCTGAACTAAGACAAGACAATGATGGTAATGAGGTGGTTGCAGGGTATGGACTGGAAATATGATCTGGGGAGAGAATCAGCCTTGAGATTACAGGGCAACTTTCCTGCCCTGCATCCCACCTGTTGGAGAATACAGCAATATTTTGTCTCAAACAAACGATAAAACTAGGTTTTTACAGGGTGTAATGGAGCATGCCTTTAAATTCTAGCACTTAGGAAGTAGAGACAAATGAATCTCTATGAGTTCGAGGCCAACTAGGGCTACAGAATGAGACTCTGTCAATACAAAACAGAGAATAAAAGGAAAATTCTTTTTTCTTCTTGAGATGGTGTCTTGTGATCTCAGACTGACTTCAAACTTATGTATCCAAGGAAGACGACCTTGAACTTCTGACCTTCCTGCCTCTACCTTCTTATCTTATTGGTAGCAAACCAAAAAGTCCTGGTGTGTTTTGTATGAGTGATTGGCCTTCACATTTATCTGTGCATCATGTGCATGTCTGGTGCTCAGGCCAGGAGAGGGCACCAGATCTCTTGGGACCAGAGTAATAGACAGCTGTGAGTATAGACAGATGTGAGTTGCCCTATGAGTGCTGAGAATCGAACCCAGGTCCTCCTCAAGAACAGCAAGTGTTCTTAACTACTGAGCCAATTCTCCAGCCCCCCCCCTTGTGTGTTTTGTTGAGGCCCAGAGGTTGTTGTATTTCTGTTTATTTGTTTGTGACAGGAACTTGCTATGTAGTCTATTGACCTCATACCAAGATAGCCTTCCTGCCTTTGCCTCCCAAGTCCTAGGAGCCTGCTCCACCCCCCTTCAAATAAGGTAGCCCAGTCTGGCCTCAAACTCACAACGTAGTCAAAGATGACCTTGAATGTCTGACCCTCCTACCTCTACCTAGCACTTCAGAGTGCTAGGATTACAAATGTGTGCCAGCGGGTCCAGTTTTATGTAATGCTGGGGACTGGATCCAGAGCTGCTTGCATGCCAGGCAAGCACTCTACCGACCGAGCGGCATCTACCGAGTAACTAGTATAACAGCACAATGGCTGGTGTGTGCCATAAAAAAGACGGATGGACCTCACTGTGCATGTGTATAGAATGACTTCCATGATTTACTGTTAAAGGGGTGGGGAAGGGGGGGGGGCTGGGAAAAACAAAAAAGGATATTGCATTTTTTTTTCTCAAAGAAAAAGTAAATACTTTAAAATCATCTCCATATAATTTCACACAAGTCTAGTTTGGGAGGCTAGGGTTGTAGCTCAATTAATAGAGTGTTTGCCTAGCATGTGTGAAGCACTGAGTTTGATCTCCAGCTCTAAATAAGGCAGAGGATTATTGCATGCCTGCGATCCCAGCACTTAAGAAAATAGAGGCAGAAGGGTCAGAAGTTCAAGGTCATCTTCCTTGGCTACAGAATTTGAAACCAGTTAGAGATACATGAGACACTATCTCAAGAATTAAAAAAAAAAAAAATAGTTTTATTCTCCATTTTGTATTGAGACAGGGTTTTACTATGTAAAACCTCAACTGGACAGAGATCCACCTGCCTCTCCCTCCTGAGCGCTGGGATTAAAGCCTTGCACCATCACACCCTGCAAAAGTCTAGTTTTATTGTTTGTTGGAGACTAGATCTTGCTCTGCAATCCAGGCTGGCCTGGAACTTCTGACCCTCCTGTTTCCATTTGCTGAGTGCTGGTGTACAGAAGGATGCCACCATATCCAGCCTAGGGTTTTTTGTTTGTTTGTTTGTTTGTTTGTTTGTTTGTTTGTTTAAGTGTGTGGAGGGGAGGGGATCTGGCTTCACAGGGTCAACCTTAACTGGCTGGAGTAGACCAGCCGCCGCTCCTTGACCACTTGGCTTCCACAGTCTCCACTACTTCTAAGCATGTGCCTGCCCAGCTAGAATGCCCTTAAAATTCCCTGCTAGTTCTCTGTGGGGTTCTGGGAGGCTGGATGGCCAGAGCAGGAGTCTCTGGTAGTTCTTTCTCTTGGCTCTGGTCCTCAGCTCTGGGGCTGCCTCTCCGCGGGAGACACAGGAAGCCCTCCAGCCTCGCACTCACAGCTTGCTCCTTTTTCTCCCAGCTCCAGCGGTTTAAACGCACCCTCTCCCTCAAAACCATCCTTCGAAGTAAGAGCGTGGAGAACTTCTTCCTCCGCTCAGGCTCTGAGCTGAAGTGCCCAACAGAGGTGCTGCTGACTCCGCCCACCCCACTGCCTCCTCCTTCTCCACCACCTGCATCCACAGATGGGGGTCTCCCCACCCCGGCACCCTCGCCGTGCCCAGTCCCACGCCCCTTGGCACCACTCAAACCAGTACGGCTGCACAGCTTCCAGGAACACGTCTTCAAGAGAGCCAGCCCTTGCGAGCTGTGCCACCAGCTCATCGTAGGTAGGTGCCTGGGCCCTGTGGCAGGCCAGAGGAAGGGCTGGTGGGCGCCTGGGAATAAGCCATGGCATTGCCTGATACTGGAGAACTGCAACGCAGGGTCACACTTCTAACTGTGCCTCGTTGCCTGGGGAGACAGATGAGCGTTGAGTGAGTCTGGGCCTTAGTTCATTGAGTACTTGCCTACCACGCAACAACTCTGCGAAACAAGGATAGAGTCATGGGAGGTTTTTTACTTCTTGGTTTTTGAGACAGGGTCTCTCTGTGTAGCCCTAGTTATCTTGAAACTCGCTCTGTAGACCAGGCTGGCTTAGTCCTCAGAGATTTGCCCGCCTCTGCCTCCAGAGCGCTGGGATTAAAGGCGTGCGCCACCAGGCTTTCTGTTGTAGCTGTTCCTGGGCCATTTCCTCTCGCTGAACCCGAATCTCTCCTAGGAAACTCCAAGCAGGGCTTGCGATGTAAAACATGCAAAGTCAGCGTCCACCTCTGGTGCTCCGAGGAGATCTCCCACCAGCAATGCCCGGGCAAGACAGTGAGTGGGAGTTGGCATGTGTCAGACCCCTCAAGGCTGGCTCCTCCTCCTGCGGGGTGGCCCCGGGCTTGGGCAAGGCCAGTCCCTCCATGGGTCATTATATCTCTGTGTTCTCTCTGCACCTCCTTTTGCCCCAGTCCACCTCTTTTCGACGCAACTTCAGCTCCCCACTCCTGGTGCATGAGCCACCACCAGCCTGTGCCATGAGCAAAGAGTCCCCACCTGCTGGTAAGTGTCTACACCCCATGGCCCCTGTCTCCGAGGACTTCCTGTGAGAAATCCCACATAGCTTTCAGTTCCATGCCTGAGTCACACTGGTACTGCCTGTTCCTGATACTCCCTACTTCCCTTCCGGGATGCTCCTGTCCTGAATGTAGGCTCCATTTATTCATTTGTTCATTGGTCTCTCGACCGGCAATTTATAGACTATCTACTTAGCTTGGGGCACTGCGCCAGACATTGAGAGACAGCACTGAGGAAGGTGGGATTGAGTTGGGTGTGGTGCCCCATGCCAGGCACTCCAGCACTCAGAAGGCAGAGGAAGGGGATAAACAGTTCAAAGCCATCACGGGAGTCTAGAGTGAATTCAGGCTGGCAAGTGGGTACCAGCCTGGGCTAAGTGAGACACTGTCTTATAAACCAAATAATAATAACAAATGCATAGAGCTGGGCAGGGTTAGGTCAGCTCACCAGGGAAAGGCACTTGCCACCAAACCTGACGATCTGAGTTCTAGCCCTGGGCCCCACACGGTTGAGCTTCGGGGTGAATTCAGGCTGGCAGCCAGGTGCCAGGCACTGAAGGTGGATGCTTAGCAGGGACCATCGGGAAGGTGGACCCAGTTTATGAGACCCTGCGCTATGGCACCTCCCTGGCACTGATGAACCGCTCCAGCTTCAGCAGCACGTCTGAGTCCCCCACACGGAGCCTGGTATGCTGGGCGCAGAAGGGGAGCCCTCAGAGGGAGGGCCTCTGAGGATGACTGTGGGCCCAGTGGCTGATCCTCCTCCTGTCTCTCCCCAGAGTGAACGGGATGAGCTAACAGAAGACGGGGAAAGCAGCATCCGCAGCTCAGAAGAGGGGCCCGGTGACAGCGGTAAGCCAGAGGGAGCCGTCCCCAGGCACAGGGAGAGGGTGGGGGAGGCACTGCTTGAAGCTTCACACTCTGCTCTCCCCTTGGTGTCCCCAGTATTCACAGCCCCAGCAGAGAGTGAAGGATCAGGACCAGAGGAGAAGAGCCCTGGACAGCAGGTGAGCCTGGAGTTAGCTTGGAGCCCACAGGCCACTTCTTGCCATTGATCATGTGTACATAAGAGCACACAGCAAAGCCAGGCGTGGTGGTGCACACCTTTAATCCCAGCACTCAGGAGGCAGAGGCAGGAGATCTCTGTGAGTTTGAGGCCAGCCTGGGTCTACAAGTTCCAGGACAGGCTCCAAAGCTACACAGAGAAACCCTGTCTCGGGGGAAAAAAAGAGCACGGTATACACAGCACTCACTGCTTCTCCCGCAATGTGTCCTCAGTCCCCTGGGAGAAGCAACAGTCAAGATGAGAGGCATGGAAGGTGGGAGGGATCCCCACTGTCTATTGCTCCATTCCTGCTCTCCCAGGGCAGGCGGTTCCAAACTTAGCAGACAAAGGGTGTCCTCCCTCTCTATATCAGTCCCATCCCCGCCCCCCATGATTGGGAAGATACACACTTATTACTTACCAGAGATTCACAGTGTCCTTGTCCTACCCCAGGGCAAGCACACTCACAGCAGGTGGACAGTGGGTGGACCAGGGAGGTGACCCACCGTTACTGACCCGGAACTCTTCCTACAGGCCCCAAAGCTGTCTCTGCGGAAGGATGTGGGGCCCATGTACTCCTACGTTGCACTCTACAAGTTCCTGCCCCAGGAGAACAATGACCTGGCTCTCCAGTGAGTCCCTTTCTGTGGTCTAGCCTCACTGGTCCTGCCTAACCCCTACTGACCTTGGAACACAGGGTGATGAGAACCTTTTCTCCTTGCACATTTGAATATATATACTATGTCCACAGAGAGGCCAGAGTTGCCCAGGGTGGTGGGTGTAGTATCCTGTCTTCTGCCCCAATTCTGGGCTATTCCAGGGAACCTGCTGTATCTGTGGTCTCAGTGGCCTCAAAGAGCACTGAGAATCCTCTCCCGCCGGCTGAGAGGGGCATGCAGGGCACCTAGGTACCCACATGCTGCCCCAGCTCTCTCTTTCCCAGGCCCGGAGATCGAATCATGCTGGTGGACGACTCTAATGAAGACTGGTGGAAGGTGACTTGGCAGGATGGGGTCTGAGGGGGCTCTGATAGGTACTGTCCCACTTTCCCTTCGGGCCCCAAAGACCTCCCTTCCTCCCGTGGCTTGCCCAGGCCAGGTCCAGAGCCAATCCTTAGGCCTCATCCATTTCACCCTCCGTCAGCTCCTTCTGCCCACCTCACGGCCTCCCAAGGCCAGAAGCCACCACCATCTGGGGGCTGGAATAATGAGAGCCCAAGGTCTGGAGGACGATGGTACTGGCTCTGAGTAGGAACTGGGTCTAGAGAAAAAGTGGGGGTGAAGCTGGTGCTCAGGCTCACTGCCAACCTCATCCCCAGGGCAAGATTGGCGACCGGGTTGGCTTCTTCCCAGCCAATTTTGTGCAGCGGGTGAGGCCAGGGGAGAGCGTTTGGCGCTGCTGTCGGCCCTTCTCTGGGAACAAGGAACAGGGTTACATGAGCCTCAAGGAGAACCAGGTGGGTTCCAGGGCCCTGCTGGGGCTGAAGCATGGTGTATACGAAGCCCTTGGAGCTGGAGCTTCGAGCTGAGTTGGTGACGTGTTTGCTTTGGACTCCATCCTCAGCAGTATGTAAACTGGATATCGATGGCATATACCTGTAACCTCGCTGAGGCAGGAGGATTGTCCTGGGCTTAAGCCTATACAGCAAGTGCCAAGGCTACGTATTGAGACCCCGTCTCAAAAAGACAAAACCAAACAAGCGAAGGAATAGGATAGAAAGGCCCTCCCAGGGGCCTTGAGCTGGTCCCTGACAAAAGGCAGCTTGATATCAGAGGCAGTTGGAGGGAAACAGGAGCACTGAGTCACGAATCTGGAGGCTTCGCTGTTTTCTGTTTGTTTGTTTTATTTATTTTATGTGCATGGGTGTTTTGTCTGCATGTATTTCTGTGCACCATGTGCGTGCCTGGTGCCCACAGAAGCCAGAAGAGGTTGTTGGATCCCTTGAGACTGGAGTCACAGATGGTTGTGAGCCGATGTGGGTGGTGAGAAACCAAGTCCTCTGGAAGAGTAACCAGTGCTCTTAACCACTGAGCCATCTCTCCAGCCCCTGCTTTTTTGTTTTGTTTTGTTTGGTTGGTTGGGGTTTTTTTTTTTTTTTTTGGTTTTTCTTTTTTTTTTTAATTTTTTATTTTGCAATACAATTCAGTTCTACATATCAGCCACGGATTCCCTTGTTCTCCCCTCTCCCGTCCCCCTCACCTTCCCCCCCCATTCCCATCTCCTCCAGGGCAAAGCCTTCCCCACAGACTGAGTTCAACCTGGTAGACTCAGTTTTGGTTTTTCAAGACAAGGTTTCTCTGTGTAACAGCCCTGGCTGTCCTGGAACTTGCTCTGTAGACCAGGCTGGCCTCAAACACTCAGAGATTCCCCTGTCTCTGCCTCCCGAGTGCTGGGATTAAAGGTGTGCACCACCACGGCCAGTTGTTTTTTTTTGTTTTTTTTTTTTTTTTATTAGACAGTGTTTTACTATGTAACTCTAACTCTAAATGGCCTGGAACTTGCTAGGTAGGCCAGGCTGGCCTTGAACTCACAGACATTTGCCTACCTCTGCCTCCCAAGTGCTAGGATTTGGGGTGCCCTGACTAGATTTAAGTACTGACTGTCTTTCTGCATAACCTCACACAAGCCCTTTTCTCTCTGCCTCTTCCTCTGTGAATTGGGATTAGGAAGGGGCATTGGTTTAACTGATCACTAGGTTCAGCTCTGATGCTGATGTCCTGTTAGCCCTGGGTCCTGGTCATGCTGTTGATCCCTCCTAAGATCTGCTTGCATCAGCTCCATCCACACCAGCTACCCCAACCCCACCCTCCCCTGGGGCATGTCCTCTGGAGCCATCAGCAACACTCATTCCAGGTCTCACCTCTCTACTCAGATCTGTGTAGGCGTGGGCAGAAGCAAGGATGCTGACGGCTTCATCCGAGTCAGCAGTGGCAAGAAGCGAGGCTTGGTGCCAGCCGACTCCCTGGCAGAGATCTGACAGAAATCAAGACAACCCTGACGCTACCCCTGCCCATGCCTGGCCCTTGCTTCTGGCCTGAGAAGGAAGCCGGCATCCTGGCCACACCCTTCCTCTCCCCGTCTCTCTCCTAAGCATCACCCACCCCCACTTAGGAGCCTTCTGCACTGAGGAAGGTTTTATTTCTTGGGTGGGGTATCCTGAATGGGGTGATCTTCTGGGACTTGGGGAAGGGAGTCCAAAGTGGGAAGAAATGAGGAAGCTACAGATAGGCCCACCCAGTGCCCAGGTACCACCTAGTCGGGTTGCCACAATGAGTCCCACCCTAGGGAATCTCCTGCTGCCCTCAGAGACTTTACCTGCTCAAACTGCCTCTGCATGCCTGACCCCTCTTTGCCCACGGCCTTTGCTTGGGTCTGTGTATCCACCCCTTTGCAACTGGGGCCTTGTGAGAGGGCCTTTCGGTGTTCCTCAGCCCTCCACTCTGGATTGAGAGGGGACTGGGGACTGTGATAGAACCCTGAATTCACCACCGTCACTCCTTCAATTCTCAGGAAAGTTCAGGAATCTTTTCCATTACTTGAAACCCACACGGACAGAGCAGGGGCAGGACTGAGGTCTGGAGGGGATGTGACATGTGAGAGAGTGTTCCGCTAAGGACCGTCCCCACACAGCAGCCTCATCTTACCTTTGTCTACTAGAAATTGGTGTCCAAGAGCAGCCTGGACACAGACCCAGCTGAGAACAAGACACTGGCCCCTGTTTGGTCAAAACATTTCACTGTTAAGACTCTAGAAATCCCTGTCACCAGAAGCAGCCAGCCAGGGTAGTCTGTGCTTGTGAGTTCTGGTCTCTCTAAAAGCTCTGCCCTCAGATGGACCAAACTTACCCTTCTCAGCAGGCTCTACAGGGCCCATCCCTGGGAGGAATACCTTGAGAGATAGAGGATGGCTATGGAATGTTTGTTTTGGCCGTCAGGAAGTGATGGTCTAGGAAACCCTGGCCCTCGTGGGCAGGACAAAGGACCTCTCCCTCAAAGGCTGCTTTTTTTCCTGGTGCCAGCCCCCTCCCTCCAAGCTCAGAGCCTCCTTTTTGCACCCTGATCATGTCAGCCAATGCCACCACCCCCCCCCCCACCCAGTTCTGGGCACAGTCATGCCCTCCATACAGTGAGAGGACACAGATTCTCCAGCCCAACACACCTTGCCCCACTTTTCCCCCTAAGAGGGGATTAAAGCCACACTGCCCTGTTTGCTGCCATGAGGCCCCCCACCAGCAAAATCCCCGGGGAGGGGCCCAATGCCCACTGTACATGAGGCTGCATGACGGGTCTGCGGGGGAGTTGCTGAGCCCCCAGGCCCATAATTAAATGTTTCTTGTCTCAGCTTTGTCTGCTCTGTGTATCTGATTGGAATAGAAAAAGCGGGCACCGAGATGGGGCGGGGGGCTGAGGGTAGAAGGGTAGAGGGTAGAAGAGGTCATTGACCTCTGAGAGGAGGGGCGTCGTCGGAGTGGGATGCGCTAACATGGGTACCGCAGAAAGATGCGGGAAGGACCGGAGGTGGGGCTGAGGTCACTTCTGGGTGCCTCGCGCACCATGGTCGCGCAGGGGGCGGACCCACAGTTGTTGACGCAGACCCGCCTGCTCCGGGGGGTGCTGGAGCCTGGGGATCAGCCTCTCCCTGCATCCCCCAAGCCCAAAATTCAAAGATGGTGGAGCGAAGAGTGGTGGACGCTGAGGCCTTGAGATGACTCAGCAGCGTCCGTCATCTGGTGCCTGGCGGCGGGAGGGGAGGGCTCGCGCGCCCCTCTGCCGCCCACCTGCTCCAGCCAAGCGGCCGCCTTCCCGCGCCTGCCCAGCCGCGTCACTCGAGCGGCTCCTCGCGTGTCCTGGGCTATTTATAGGCACAGTGGGGAGCAAGAGAGCCCGAGGCTGCTGCGGGGGTGACAGGGCACAGAAGGTGGGAATCTGCCTCTTTTGACAAGTACCCTCTCCTTCATCCAAGTCTGGGTCCCGCCTCCGCCTTCTGAGCTAGGTAGGCGAGGTGGGACCAGACTGTGGTGCCTCCTCCTTGAGCATCCTTTGGGCCCCTTCATCCAGTAAAAGCCATAGTGTGGTGATACACTGTGTACCCTAATAAAATTTGTCTGAGAATCAGAGGACAGAACAAGCCACTGGATTAAACACAGATGCCTGGGATTGATGGCACACACTTTTAATCCTAGCATTCGGGTGGCAGAGAGCTGTCTGTGAGTTCAAAGCCACCCTGGACTACATGAGATTGACCCGTCTAGGAGAGAAACAGAGCCAGGCAGTGGTGGCACACACCTTTAATCCCAGCACTTGAGATCTCATGCCTTTGCTTGGGAAGCACACGTGACCTTAATCCCAGGAAGTGATGGCTGGGCGGAGAGAGGTATATAAGGCGTGAGGAGACAGGAACTAGAGGGCTTTTCAAGGCTGAGGAACCTAGAGGTAAGAGGTGGCTTGCTTGTTCCTTTGTCTCTCTGATCTTTCAACATTCACACCAATATTTGGCTCTGGGTTTTTTTTTATAAGACCATTTAGGAATTCGTGCTACACCATAGAGCTTGAACACCCCTCTCCTAGAATCCTCGCCCTGGAACTGGAAGGGAGTTTCACCCCCAAGTCTGAAGGCTTTCTTTTCTTTGAAATAGGATCTTGTTTTGAACTTAGTAATCGCCCTGCTACAGCCTCCCGAGTGCTGGGATTGCAGGTATGAAGCACTATGCCTGGCTCTGAAGGCTACAGAGAGAACTCTGTAACCCGGGCAGGCCATCTCCCCTGAGTGGCTGAGATTACAGGTGTGCAGTGCCACAGCTGCCTTGAGAAGAGTTCACCTAATTCAACACCTGGTTCCACCCACGGAGCCCACGGAGCCCGCCAGGAACTTCATGCTATTGGGTCCTCTCACTGACCCAAACCGGACTGAACCCTTTGACAGACGAGGACACTGTGATAGAGATGGTGGGTGGTTTACCGAAGGTCACACACTTTACACAGCATGAACTGTCCCTTTCACACTTGGGAAAACTAATGCCTGGAGAAAGCTAATGACTTGTCCTGATTATCAAGCAATCATAGGCCCAGACATCTTACCATCCTGCCCTGTGTCCCTCGATGCCTTAAGCCACTAGGCTGGAGGACAGCCTGATGCTGGGCCTCCAGAAATAGATGCTCCCACCTCACTGGAGACGAGTGGGAATGTTGAATTCAAGCCTTGTGCATACCCAGTGTCTGCCACCAGCCAGCAGCTGGCCTGCAACAGCCCCCTCCCCCAGTCTGTCTGCTGCGCTGCTGAGCACAGCAGCCTTTTCGGGTGGCTGAGCCTCTGACAGCAGGCTCACAGCCTAGGGGCTGGGGACAGCTGCTGTCCCCACTACGGCCTGTGCTCTCCTCTCTGCCTGTTCTTGTGGATCTGGCTGGACCAGCAACACTACTGGCCCGGGAATCCCCAGAAATCTGCTGCCAGTGCCATCTCTGACCTACACACGACCTTCCTCCTGAGCCCACTTGGTACACCCCACCTGGGTTCAAGAGAGACCCAGAAAGAAAAATCTAGGACCCAGGGACAGGGAGGCCTAAAGGGACAAGGGAGTAGATGCTGGAGATGGGGAAGACTCAAACGGTGAGGTTGTCTGTGTAATCCCACCACGTTGCTAGTCCATTCCCTTCTCTTCAGCCTTCTGCCTCCCCCAGCCTCCTAGGGCTTGGACCTCCTAGGGACCTGCTGAGACACTCAAGGAAGGCAGCTGTGCATGCCTAGACTCAGTCTCTTGTGCTTTATAGGAGATGGCCTAGCTTGCCCCTGTCTCAGCTTCACTGATGCCACTGGGGACAAGGCAAAAGCCAGTCCCGATTACCCGGCCCTTTTCCAGCTGGGGCCTACAACAGGGGCTCTGCTCTGTGTCTATGCACGCGGTACTATGAATCAAACCAATAGCTGGGGCCCAGTGCCAGACTAGTAACGAGACAATCTGAGGTTCTGGGAAGTCACTGGGCCTCAGTTTCTTTATCTAGAGAGTAAGTTGGGTAGTCAGGCGGTGGTGGCTCGTGCGTTTTAATCCCAGCACTCAGGAGGCAAAGGCAGGCAGATCTCTGAGTTCACCTGTTCTACAGAGCAAATTCCAGGACAGCCAGGGCTACACAGAGAAATCCTGTTTCAAAAACAACATCATCATCAACAACGACAACAAAAAAAGAAAAAGAAAAAAGAAAAAAAGAAAGCAGCCGGGCGGTGGTGGTGCACATCTTTAATCCCAGCACTCGGAAGGCAGAGCCAGGTGGACCTTTGTGAGTTCGAGGCTAGTCTGGTCTACAAAGCGAGATCCAGGACAGGCACCAAACCTACACAGAGAAATCCTGTCTTGAAAACAAACAGACAAATCAACAACAAAAAAAAAAAAAAAAAAAAGAAAGGAAGGAAGGAAGAAAGAAATAAAGAAAAAGATCAATGGTTAAGAGCACTAACTGCTCTTCCAGAGGACCAGTTCAATTCCCAGCACCCACATGGTAGCTCATAGCTGTCCGTAACTCACTCAGTTCCAGGGGATCTGATACCTTCATACTAATGCACATAAAATAAAGTTAAATATTTAGAAAGAAGGAAAGAAAGAAAGAAAGAAAGAAAGAAAGAAAGAAAGAAAGAAAGAAAGAAAGAAAGAAAGAAAAGAAAATGAGTTGGGTTTGCTCAGCCCCTTGGAAAGATGTATAAAGTTGTATGATGGGAACAGTTCCAAGCTTTTGTTCTGTTTTGCTCTATATCCCAGGCTGGCCTCAAACTTGGAGCAACGAAGCTCCTGGGTGCTGGGATTACATGAACCACCATGCCTGGCTTGTCATACACCTTTTGTATTTTTAGAAGCATAAATATTTATTTGTGTGCAGTGTTGAAGATCTACAACTTCTTAAGTTCACATTCACACTTCACCTTTTTAAACAAACATTTCTAATCATTATTTTATACAGATAGAGATATGTAAATACAACATCAAGTTCAGTGGTCCTTCAGCATTTTCCACTTAAGTGGTTTTTTTTTTTTTTTAACATTAAAAACAGGTTATAATTCCAAAGTCCAAAGTTATTTGAAACTGGAAAATATTTTCTCTATAGAAAATAGTAAAAATTATAACATTTCCCAATAAGCCCTTTTAAGCCAAATAATAGCTGAATTATACATATAAATATTGATTAGATTCTGGGATACAGAAGAAACCTATCTTCATCTGTTAAGAGAGCTAGGTTTTACTTAGGTTGTGTAACTGAGATTCCTATTCATCTTCCCCTTCACTGTTTGATTTACTGCAGACATTTTTCTATAGGCTAATGCATAATCTAAAAAGATTTTAGCCTCCCCTCCTGAAAGTATGTTCAGCATTTCCTTTCATCAGCTTGATACAGAATAAATTCTTATCCTAATAGTGAAATGTTTCATTGAGGCTTGCCCAGTGATTGGGTAAAACCAAAACTTATTATAAGCCACAGTCATCCTAGGGTCCCCTCTGCTAGGTAGCCTCCCTGGATCTGTGGGTTGCAGTCTGATTGTTCTTTGCTTTATATCTAGTATCCACCTATGAGTGAGTACATACCATGTTTGTCCTTCTGGGTTTGAGTAACCTCACTCAGGATGATATTTTCTAGTTCCATCTATTTGCCTGCAAATTTCATGCTGTCATTGTTTTTCTTTGCCGAGTAGTACTCCATTGTGTATATGTACCACATTTCCACATTTTCTTTTTTCTTTTCTTTTCTTTCTTTCTTTCTTTTTGTTGTTGTTGTTTTTCTTTTTTCGAGACAGAGTTTCTCTGTGTAGTTTTGGTGCCTGTCCTGGATCTCCCTCTGTAGACCAGGCTGGCCTCGAACTCACAGAGATCCGCCTGCCTCCTGCCTCCCCAGTGCTGGGATTAAAGGCTTGTGCCACCACTGCCCGGCATACCACATTTTCTTAATCCATTCTTCAGTTGACGGTTGTCATGTACTTTTAAAAGATTTTTAAAATGTGTTTCTTTCTCTGTCTCTCTCCCTCTCCCTCTCTGTCTCTCTTATGTGTGTGTATGCCCATGTATGCGGGCATCAGAAGCCCTAGAGCTGGAGTTACAGGTGGCTGTGAGCTGCCCAATGTGGGCTCTGGGAATTGAACTCATGCTCTCTGGAAGAGCAGCAAACACTCTAAACTGCTAAGCATCTCTCCAGCACCCAAGTCTTATACTCTTGAGAGAAAGGTCATATCTTTAGGGGCTGGAGGGGCTGAGTGGGTGGAGGTGGAGTATATGTTAAGTACATACTGTACTGCAGAGCTATACCCTCAGTGCTAAATAGATTGGATTTCCAGGACCTGGAATGGATTCAATGGTTATTTAGGAGTTCTTAGTGATTGAGGCTCCCTGAAAATTAGACTCCCTCCGTATATTTTCCTGTAAAGGTTGTCATAGCTCATGGATGTACCTTCTAGGCCTGGGTGACGTTCAGGAAGAAATGACACAGGGGTGGAGTGTCGCTCAGTAGCAGAGACATTGTCTGTCATGAATGAACTTGACAGTGGAATAGGCTTTCCTGAGAGGTGGACTCCTGGATCCACCTTCGCTCAGTTGGCATCTCTGTTGCTGTGATGTAGTGACCAAAGACCACGGGGGAGGAAAGGGTCTATTCAGCTTACAGATGACAGCCCATCACCAAGGGAGGCCAGGGAGGAACTCAAGGCAGAAACCTGGAGGTAGGCACGGAGGCAGAGACCGTGGGAAAATGCTGCTTACTGACTGGTTGGCACCCCAGCAGTCCCAACTTAGCACTGAAAACCTGGAAGGATCTTAGAGAGCCACTGGTCCTTAGTCTACGATGGCAGCCTGAGAACGCCGGTTCTGGTGTTAGCGAGGGCAGCAACAGTAGAGGGTGAATTAGCTTGGTGACGAGGGAAGACCAAGCAGGGAAAAGGAGACTAACCTCCCTTCTGCTGTGACCCTTTTTTATCTGGGTCATTTCTAGAAGGTGCCAACCGAATTTGGGGTACGTCTTCCTAACATCTATTAAGGCCATCAGAACTCTTCGGCAGGGGCCCCCTACTCGGTAGACTCTAATTTGTGGCAGGTGAACATTAAAACCAACCATCATAACCTTTCCAAACAACCCAATGTCATTCAATCAACAGAAAGCCCCAGTGAGGCCTGAGCCTGCACATACAGCAGCCACCAGTGAGCGAACAGCACCACCTTCTGGCCTGGAGTGGAACCAGTCCCTGTAGAGTGTGCTCAGGGCCCAGGTATGCTTTGTGTTCCCCTCCCCTCCGGTGATCCCTGTCTCTACCACGGACATGGGTTGGCATGGGGTGTCTCCAACACCTTCTCCCTGAGTTGGGCCAGAAATGTGCGTGCTAAGCTGAGCTTGGTCAAGGCCTTGGAAAGTTAAAGCCAGAGGCCAAGGTAGCAATTGCAGCTTGCTACAGTGGACCTGAGCCCAGTGTCCCTTTGTGCTAAGCCCTGCACATGGTGGGGTCCACCATTCCCTCCCCTGCTCAGAACTGAGGTGAAGCTGTATGGTCCAATGGTCCCAGTGTCTCCTCACTTTCTGTCACTCCTATCTTCCGTGAAAGGCACTGCTGTTGAGCAGCCACCCTAGAAAAGGACGGCCCACGTTTCCCAGCATAACCCAGAGTTCTCACAGGCCTGTCACTGGACATCCTTCTCAAACCACCACACTGGTGCCTCCATAATCCTTTTGCTACTCAGTCCCACCCCACTGGTTTTCTTCTAAGGTTTGGAAGCCAAGCCCTGGGAATCAGGCTCAACTGCCATGGCCTGTGGTACCAAACTCCAGTTGACGTCACTGCATCAGTACAGGCTGTGGGAAGTCTCACCTCTCATCTGCAAGATGGAGGCAGCGGCCGACCCTACTTCATTATATTGTGAAGATTAAAGAATCAATGTAAATCCATGTAAAGTGGTATTTGGGTCACAGCGACTATTGAAAACCCTCCTGGCAGCCACTACTACAGCTAAGTGGGAAAATGCCACTTCCTGTATAAGAACAGACCCACATTTAAATACTTAAATTAAGCACCTCACACTGGCCTGAGGTCCCAGGGCAGGTTTCAAATGGTTGTGTGAACACAGGCATACTTATTTTTGTGACTAGGACCCTTTGGTCAGGCTACTTGACACGTGCCCCAAGTCCCAGCCACTCTGGAGAACAGAAGCCTATGAATTAGACATAGGTGAGCTCAGTTAGTGCCAACACCCTGAAACCAATTCCTAGGTGCTACTTCTGAGCTGCTGTATACGATCGTTTCTGGCTTTTCCATCTTATACTCAGGATTGTCATCAAGTACCATTACCCACTAAGCCATCTCCAGCCTACTTCCCCACTCACCACCTCAGAGGGGGTGGCAGGGTCTCACCCTGTAAGCCATGTAACCCTGGCCCCCCTTTTGACAAGTGGGCATGCTTGAGACAGGTTCTACTTGGCTCTAAGCTAGAGGCCAGGCTGGCCTTGAACTTCAACATCTTCAAGAGCTAGAACCACAAGCATCAAATCACAAGTCCTTAAGGGGCAGTTCTGAAATTAAGTATTTTGAGGCAAGGGTAGAAACCAATCCTCGTACCCCTTCGAAGTTGGCCCACACCCTACAAAAACAAGGTTAAAAACACCCCCGAATGGTCCACTAGACTTAAAGAAATGGCTGACGGCCCAGACTCATGTGGCCAGCTGGGGACCTCGAATCATTAAGATGCAGCTGCCAAACCGCTAGAAAGGAAGAGGACAACAGACAAAGGCTTGTTTTATTTTAATGACTGATCCACCTGAGGACACAGGCAGTCCACTATGTACAGACACGAGGGAAGCTTTATTTCTTGGTCTCTTCCTCCTTGGACAGAGTCTTGATGATCTCCTCCTTCTTGGCCTGGAGACGCTCCTCCCGGCGCTTTCGGGCTTCCTTGGTCTTAGACCTGCGAGCCTCAGCCTGGTCACTAGTAGAAGGAAGAAAAATGGTCCGTTTGGGGACAGGCGAGCAGCTAAGGAGACAGAAGCACACCCCCAGACCTCCGTACCATCAGAGCTTTATCAGCCCAAGGAAGGGCAGCTCTGTCTCACCCAGCCCAGTGCAAACGGGCAGGTGGTATGGCAATGTGCGGGGCAAAGGAGCAGGAACCTCTAGTCAACAGTGTGCTCCTAACACATCAAGCAGCACCAGGTCCCTTTTCAGCACTGTTACAATCAAGGCCAGCGCTGCCCCTAGGGTAACTCTAAAAGACACTTACGCCAGGAGCTTCTTGCGGGCCTTGTCTGCCTTCAGCTTGTGGATGTGTTCCATGAGAATCCGCTTATTTTTGAAGACATTCCCCTTGACCTTAAGATACAGGCTGTGATACCTGCAGGGTCAAGGAACACAGCGCAGGTTAGCAATGGGACCGGAGGCTGGTACTGTGAGCTCTTCCTCTCCCCAGGTCACTAAGCCTGTTCAGTTTCCTTCCCATTACTACAGGGACTACTGTTCCCAAAGCCAGACTTCTTGGGCAGCTCCTACACAGAAGCTGCCTGGTAAATTCAATTTCTGGGCTACTCTGATGGCATAGCGGAAACCAAGAAAACAACCCTCCTAGAATCAGACTACTCCCTTGGCAGGATTCTCTACTCAAAGCCAGTGAGACAGAGATCTATGAAAAGACAAAGCCCAGTGACAGAGGGCGGGCTTACATATGGCGGTCAATCTTCTTGGATTCACGGTATCTCCTGAGAAGTCGGCGCAGGATGCGCATCCTTCTCATCCAGGTCACCTTCTCAGGCATCCGAGCGTTGGCAGTACCCTTCCGCTTCCCTGTGCGAGAATTAGGAATCAGACTATCTAAGCTTCAAGGACTTGTTTTAAGTTGGTTACTAGATACATGGAAATTATTGTCCTCTTAGCCTATAAGCATGTGGCTATGACAGGAAAAAAGGTAGTATGACATGGTGGCTTTGGATACAGCGTGACAAGGGCCCTAGAAAGTGTTTTCCCCAAACAATGAGACATGCACACCTATGTCCAGGCGTCGGTGAGCCACTGGTATGAGTGCTGGGAACCAAACTTTGCATCCTCTGCAGAGCAGTTAAGCGTTGCCAATTTCTGAGCCACCTCTGCAACCACCCCCAGGTTTAAAACATCCAGTATAAACCCACCATAATATACAGACTTAATAATATTAATATCTTCCTCAAGAATAAACACAACCCAGTGCCAACTTGTATCCATGTATCCACAAGAGAGAAAAAAATGTAAAGCAGTAAAATAATGGCACATGAGATGAGAAAAAGATCACCAGTGTTTGAAGACCTCAAGAGTCTTTGACAATAACTGGAACTGAACCCAGGCCCTTAAGCATGTTAGGCGACTGCTCTACCACTAAACTAGATCTCTGCATCCATCATTTAAGAGTTGGGGAAAAGGGAAGATCAGTCTCACCTATGCCCATATGCCTGCCCTTCCGTCGAGCCAAAGTGTTTTTCCGGCATCGAGCCCGGGAATGGACAGTCACAGGCTTTCGGATGATCAGCCCATCCTTGATCAGCTTCCGGATCTGCTGACCTGAGGAAGCAAAAAGCACCTATTTAGTTAGCAAAGGCCTAGCCACAAACTCAAACAGAGACATTGCTTATATCTTTGATCCAACATTCTCAAAGGAGCTGAAATCGTGAACTTGTCATACAGCATTTCTACCGTTTAAATATTCACAGCATACTTAGTGTACCCAAGATGCGGCTGTGACACAGGATGCCTTGAAGCTATCTGTCATCTACTCATCTGCCATGAAAACAATACACTAACAAACCTCTGCTCATGTCTTGAAGCCTCATCCAACATCCTTCTAGTCCTCAAATCTCTCCTCACAACCTCCATAAAGTGTTCACTGTGCACACGGTTTATTAATGGAACACTGGATGGTCGCAGTAACTTCCATTCTCAGGCAAATGCCAATAAAAGAACCTGTTTTGTTTTGTTTTACAGCTCCCCTAGAATGTGAGCTTTCTTAGGTCCATAAAAAAACCAACACATTTATGATGCCGTTCATCACAAGCAGGTGAGGGTAAAGGACCATACTCACGGGAGTTGGCATTGGCGATTTCATTGGTCTCATTGGGGTCCAACCAGACCTTCTTCTTACCACAGCGGAGGACGCTAGAGGCAAGCCTCTTCTGTAGCCTGAGCATACTGGGAAACAGAGACAGCGCTATGAGGCCCTGGAAGCCACTTCTGGACAATGACAAACACTCAAGGCAAAATCTTCTCTTCAAAGTCTTAATATTGTTTAAGAAAATGGACAAAATACACACTAATATCTATGCATCGTTACTATTAAGGCTGAATACACTTCGCAGTCCCAAGATTTTTGCCATCCCTTCGTGTTCCCTACTAACCATTTCCAAATCAAGATCACTGTTGAAGCTGCGGGCAGTGCATGCAGATTTAAGAAAACTAAGCCTTAGCCATTAGGGGGTCTAAAAGGGGCCTTAAGCCTTTTCAAGTATTTGGATGTAGTTCAGAGTTTAGGGTTAAGGATCAGGACTGTGACTGTTTACTCAGGAGGACAGGCGCGGCCTTCTGCCTTCTGGGCTCTTTGTCACAGTAACAAACGCCGTCCAGCAGTCCTTGCCGTTTGCTACAGCTGGCCGAGTGCAAGCCAGCCCGGCGCCTCACCCTCGGCAGACGGAGGCCTGGGCTTGCCCGAGACTTGTCCCACGTCACATGGCCGAGGTCCGCTAGGCTCCAGGGGCGCCAGGGAGCCACTCGTGCCCAGCTGCCGCCGCTCTACCGGCGTGGAGGCCCGCGACGCGAGCCGGGCGGAGAGCAGCGCCCGTGGGAGGGCCTCTCCAGGCCTCGGCGTCCCGCACCCCACCCTCCCCGGGCCCAGGCCGCGCGTGCTCGCGTCCTCCCCGCGCTCCCGCCGCGGCCGCACCGCGCCTGCCTCCCTCTCCTCCTCTTTGCCAGCCCGGGTCGCGGCCCTGATCCCCGCCAAGCCCCGCCGGCGCCATCGGCCGAGAACCGAGAGCCGCGCGCGCTCACCTCATGGCTGCCGGCGCAGCAGCGAAAGGAAAGAGCTTGCTGGTCGCGGGCTCCTCCCATTATCTGCGAAGGGGAGAGCCCAAGCCCCGCTCCACGTTTGTCTGCATTTCCGCTCGGCTCTCTCACCTTCTCCCGTCTCAGACCCACTTACGTCCTTCCTAAAAATTTGTGATCATAGATGCTTAAGGTCGAGAATCGGTTTTAGACTTTAAAACACAGACGGCATACCCCTTTCGTCGGGCAAAGTGGTTCAGTCCAACTTCTCGGCAGGCATGCGCAGTGAGGGTATTTGATCACGTGGGTATTTGGGTGGCCGGAAGTCACGCTAAATCGCGCAGGCGGAGTGAGGAAGGTTTGGCCGGAATGGCCTAGTCTTCACGGAGGGCCAGTCATCAGTGGAAGGTTATTATTTTAGCTGGGAGGAAATTAGCGAACGAAGAGCTAGAGAATAAAGACAGCAGAAAGCAAGCAAACGCAGCCTCGCATTCGCTCTCATAGAGTGAGAACTGGTATGCAAGCTAAGCCACCAAGAGGTTTATCCCGGCGCCACTGCAAATCCCTAATCTCTGGATGCTTCCTCCATTGTAGACTGAACCTAATCCTACTATTTCTGTCATCCACTTGTGAAAATGATATGCATCTGCTTTTACAAAGGAAGGCATTAGCACGAGCAAGCGGAACCAATTTTTGGCTCACGGTAGCAAGCACATGAGTAAATGAATGGTCTAAACCAAAAAGTCCAACGGCTTTGGATACCCCTGAGCGATAACCCAAGGAGAATGTTCTAGGGTTCAAGAATTAAAGCATCTGGAGATCTGGAGCAGAGCAGCCTGCTCCCCCCCTTAATTCTAGCAGTCAGGAAGTGAGATCGAGGTAGCAAGATAGCCAAATTTAAGGATCCCGGGCAGTTTGAGCTACAGAATGAGACCCTGCCTTTAAAAAAAAAAAATCTGGCCAAGCATGGTGGTACACACCTGAACTTCCAGTACTTGGGAGGCAGGAGGATCACAAGTTGAAGATCATCTTCAGCTCCATACGGAGTTCAAGGCCAGCCTAGAAGTCCTGACTGAAAAAAAAAAAAAAAAAAAAAAAAAAAAAGCTGAGATGGCCAGGATTGAGTCCTCCCTGCTCCAGAGAAATATAGTTGGGTTCCCAACACCCATATCTGGTGGTTCACAACTGCCTGTTACTCCAGTTCCTTGGGGTCTCTTGCTATCTTCTAACCACCTCTTGCACCCATGTACACTAGGCGTGCGTGCACACAAACACATACACATAAATAAAAATAACCCCTCTTTTTAAAAAGTCCAGGCGGTGGTGGCGCACACCTTTAATCCCAGCACACGGGAGGCAGAGGCAGGTGGATCTCTGTGAGTTCGAGACCAGCCTGTATAGAGAGTTCCAGGACAGCCAGAATTACATAATCTCAAAAACAAAAAACAAACAGAAAAGCAAAACAAAAGTTCTAGATCAGAGTTCTGGCCCTCGTTCTTACTTGGCTCAAGAGCCTTTCTCTTTTTTCTCCTTGTTTTGAAACAAGGTCCCTGTTATGCAGTCCAGGATGGCCTCAACTCTATCTTCCCACCGCTACGTTCTCTCAAGTGCTAGAACTGCAGGTCCAGGTCTGTGCTCCCTTGCTTTTCTTTCTTTCTTTTTTTTCTTTTTTCAGACAGGGGCTTCTCTGTGTAGTTCTGGCTGTCCTGGAACTCACTCTGCAGACCAGGATGGCCTTGAACTCACGAAGATCCGCCTGCCTCTGTCTCTTGAGTGCTGGGATTAAAATTGTGCACCACCACTGCCCAGCTAGGCAGTTAAAAGAGCTGAGAGTTTAAAAAGAAAGGTGTGAGAGGGAGAGGGACCATATTTATGTACTACCTCACAAAAATGTAACCTTTAAAAATCTTCATTTTGGTGGTGATTCACGCCTTCAATTCCAGCATTTGAGAGGCAGATGCAAGGCAGAGCTCTGTGAGTTCAAGACCAGCCTGGTCTACAGAGGGAGTTCAAGGCCAGACATGGCTACACAATGAACCATGTCTCAAAACAATCAATCAAATAAACAAAACAAACAAAAAGAACCTACTTCATTTTACAACTTAAGTAATAGACCGAGAACACAGGTCTTTCTTTTCCCTCCTCCTCCTTCTCTTCCTCCCCCTCTTCTTTTTCTGCTGCTGTTTTTTGAGACAGAGTCTGTAGCCCTTACCTGGCCTGAACTTCCTGTATAGACCAGGCTGGCCTAGTACTCAAAAAGGTCTGCCTGCCTCTGCCTCCTAAGTGCTGGGATTAAAGGCCTCCGCCGTGATGTCTAGCTGGGGAAGTCCATGCTTCCCTCTCATGGCAGGCTTGGTTGCCCTCTGTGTGCAGCTGGGACCCCTGCCAGTGTTGGAGATGTTCAGATGTTCATGGAAGGATACAAAGTTTCATCACTGCTCACAGTCCTTATCACAAGATGATGTGACCAGAGAATGAGCATTCGCTTGTCAGAATCCAGAGTGAGGATGAGTCCAAAAAGCCCACGGTCTCCCATCAAATAGAACACAGAAAGCCGTCTTTATTTTAAGAGCATTTCACCTTGACAAGGCTTCATTTGGCCTCCCAACTCTCCTGTGGAGCAAAGAACAGGGTAGAGAAGGGAGGAAACAGTCCTCTCGCCACAAACCACCCCTACACTGCTCCTCACAGCACCTCCAGAACCTCAGCATCTTTTTTCATCGTGGGGCATTTTTGTTTATTCATTGATGCAGTGTAACCGGTCTCTCTGTGTAGCTGAGGCTGGCCTCAAACTCAGTATGTGGTCGAGGCTAGCCTCTAGCCCGGATCATCGTGCCTTGTGATGAGTACTGGCTTTGCTACTGTACACCATCCCACCCCAGCTTCCAGACTTCTTATCGTTCTCTCATCTTGCCAAAAATTCCAGTAGGCCAAGGCGCCATAGTACCAGCAACACCGTTTATAGGAAAGAACCTGAAGCACGGAAAATGACTTTGTTTGAGACAGAGTCTCTATGTAGTCCTGGAACTCACTATGTAGACCAGGCTGGCCTCGATCAGACTCGAAGAAATCCTCCTGCCTCTGCCTCCCCAGTGAGGGACTAAATGCGTGCTAGTGCTACACCCCATGACCATAAAGAGCCTGAGCCCGATTAGCATGGAGTTGCTAGGATCCCACTCTTCCCCACAGGCCTGGGACGTGTGTTTCCCAGTCAAGGATAAAGGAAGGACAATCCTAGGTCAACAGTCATGGCATCTGATTTTGAACAGTCTTTCTCTCATCTTCGCACTTCCTTCTATTTCCTTTCTGTTCTAGGCAACAGGGACTTCGCCAAGCCTGACTCCTGGACTTTTGGAAGGGCCTGGGGGACCTTAGTAACTGATAAGGCAGAAGCACTCCTGAGTCCCTGGACAGCATTCCTGCTGTCCCTGCTGGCCTCTCCCTTTGGACACTCACCCCCTCCTCAGCCCCGAGCCAACAGCCCCAGAGCCAGGCTGGAGAGGGAGCTTTCCTCGGCTGGTTTCATGGCGGCCTGGGCCCCACACTGGGGAGAAAGGAGTTAAAGCCAGGTCCCAGGATTACAGGGACCGGGAAGTTCCGGTGGCCCAAGCCGGAGTCGGGTCAGGGAGACCCGCTGGGAGAGTAGTTTGGGACAGAAAGGGAGGCAGTGCCAGCCGTGCCAACCTGCGCTTCAGCGCTTGGCACTCACTGGTAAACGCCCCCCTCCCCCCCAACCTCCACCCTAGCCTCGAGGCCGGTTTTCCCTTGGTCCTCTGCAGATGCCCTCACCCTAGGATAATCGGAGGACCGCGGTCAAGCCCCTCTGGGATCGGGAGGCCAGCGGGCTCCGCCACCCGGCCATTGTCTGCGCGCACCCCGCGGAGGGGCTCGAGGGGCGGGGCCGCGGCGCGGGGCGGGCGCGAGGGAGGGGCGGGGGGAGATGCTGAGCCTTCAGGGGCGGAGGCGGCGGCGGCGGCGGCGGCGACGGCCGCAGAGACGAGAGCGCGAGCCGGGAGGGCGGCAAGGCGGCGAGCGTGCAGCCCGAGGTCGGGCTGGGCGACTGCACCCGGTGCTGGCTGCGCGACGCCGCGCTGCTCTCGGCTCGGACGGCCTCTCCCATGCGCTGAGAGCGCCCGGCTGGGCCGGGCGGGCGGCCGGACGGGAGGATCTTCTCCATGGTCCAGAAGAGCGGCATGTCCCGGGGCCCTTACCCACCTTCCCAGGAGATCCCCATGGAGGTCTTCGACCCCAGCCCACAGGTGAGGGGAGGTGCCGGGCTCGAGGGAAAGGGGCCGCTCCTGCGGACCTTGGGGTTGGCTCGGGAAGCCCCGGGAAGGAAAGGGTTATATGCCCGGCGTGGATGGGAGAGGGGTGTCTGCGCGACCCCCTATTCTCGAGGGTTAATGATCGATGGACTATTGGAGTTGGGCTGCGGTCCTGCCGAGCGGAGAGGGGGCGGGTGGAATGCCTGTCAGCCTCGCCTCCAGGTCTCCCCCGCGTCCAGGTCCCTGCTGCTGGGGTACAGGCTCCAGCAGGCTGACAGCGGGGTTGCTGATGGGGGCTGGGGGAAATCCAGGCCTTGAGAAGAGGAGTTGGAGGGAGGCCGGCGAGCGAATCAGGCGAGGGGGGCGACGCAGAGCACGTTTGGGGGCGCTAGCGGGTGTGGGTGGGGTGGGGGTAGTACTGGGAGACGGCAGAGACGATGGTCAGAGGGCGTTGCCAACAGGCCTTCGAAGGCTCAGACACTGGCTTTCGAAGGTGGGGAAGGGATCAGCCCTGGGAGGCCCTCCCCTAGTCACCTGGTCTCCATCTCTGGCTTGGATGTTTCCTTCCCCTCAACACCCACATTGGCTTACCCCTCCCCCCTGCCCCAAGGGGTGGGAGCCTCCAAAGTTTGGAAAGTTGGACGG